TTAATTAAGGGCCCAAGGTCGGTTTACTTAGTAGTTATTGCTGTATTCTTGCTAGAAAGTTTTTTGCTTTTTGTCCAATTTTAGTAAAATGATCTACGGAGAAGAGTTTTTTACTGCATTCCATAGTTAACTGAATTTGGATCTATTTGATCTATTTTATATAATAAATAATGTTATCATTGTAATTTATGAAAATTAATCACTAAAAGTCTTACCCTTATTCTTAATGATGCCATGAAACTCAATAATGTTCCTATGAGATTTTATAGAAATCATATGCTTTAACTGCATTTGTTTGCATAGATACATTTTAGCATAAATATTTATCGAATGATCACATACAATTAATATTTCTTACTTCGTTTACAAGCTCTCTATTAATATGTTCATTGTTCTCAATAATTTTCAATACATAAATATTTTTTGTACTTCGTAGGGTTGCCTTATAAACTTTACTAAAAGCGCCTTTATTGATTATTTAGAATTCTTCAAAATCTTCTAACTTATATTCCGTGATTTTACCTCTATTGATTTTATTCTCAATCCAATCCTCAGACATTTTAGAAAAATATTAAATGCAAAGTCTCAATAATTTTTATAAAAAGATTGTATGGATAGCTGAATTATTTATGTCAGCTACCTTCATTAGTGTAACAATTATTTTGTAGGTGCATCCAGAACATATAAAGGTTGTCATATTACACAAACGTGTAAGTGTACATTTTTGTTACATTAAAGCACAAATATTGACACGTGTGTGGACAAAAAGAAATTTCCAAACTATGATTCTAATATGATCTTCGTTGTGTTTATTGAAATGCAGCAAACAAAAAAATCATTTTGATCTAAATGCATCAAAAATGTAATTTTAGTATCACTTTGTGAATATGCAAATGAATCTCCGCTAAGTTCCAAATAATAATTGCAAAAAGAGTGATTTTTTTTTATATATCGACATGATTAATGATGCAGAAGAATTAACTCCGCATTTCTGTAATCGTGATTATACAAATGCGTGGAATATTTAAAGGATATTGCTATTGCCACCCCCTATTTTTGCTAATGCTACCCTTTATATAGTCTAACCCTAATTAAGAATTAGGGTTAGGAATGTTGGGGGCCAATCAGATTAAGCGAGAGGGTGGCATTAGCAAAAATAGAGGGGTTGGCAATAGCAATTCTCTATTTAAATGATCAGAATTGATCACTAATAATTTAGTACCTTTTTGTAACTGTAGGAACACTATGGAGTCAATTGTATCTTATGAAACTACAGATGATTTATGATTAATAATATTTCTGCACTTTTTCAAATTATCATAATCAGCAAATTTTGAGAATCACAGAAATACCAGGAACAGAGTGATAAATATCACGAAGTATATGCTTATACAGCAATTTAATGATGTTACTCCGCAAAATCCTATTGCTCATTGGATGATTAATTGAACACAATAGAGATACAAATGCATATTGTGAGAGGTTAAATGGTCAAGTTCAGAGATGGGGCATATGTAACGGATTATCGCTAGAGAATCGAATATGCCGCGTAACATTCCTCAAAGATAATAAAGGCGGTTTTACGATTTGGCACAAGGTCAAGGCGATCGTTAAGGAGCATTACAAGATAAGTATAAGGGATTTTTAACGAGCGTTATTGTATTGGGTGGTTCAAGGGGGTCTTTAATAATAATAATTTTTATTATTTTTTTGTAGAAGCAATACAACTATAGAACTATATTATTATACTGCTCTGAATGGTTCTAAACTTATGAACTGTTCTGAACTGTGAACTTCTGAACTGTTCTGAACTATGAACTTCTGAACTGTTCTGAACTACTTTTTAAAAGGGGAAAATTCCACCTTTTTATAACGAATTTGCCCATGAGAAGAGCACGTACAAGACCACAACTCTTCTTATTGTTCTCACCATTTTCCAACTTTTTTTGTCTTAACTTCTAACCCCTTTCACACAGCCTTTCGTTACTTACCATTTTTCACGTTCTTCATAGAACAGATGAGAATGTTTCAGTACCGTTCGTCCTGGGGCCAGAACTTAACATATTGTCTACAATCGCATCCCCCCCTGACATTGCCTCACACTTAACCCATGAAGGATAAAATAGAGTCAATGTCCATTCCCAGTAGTGCAAACAGGTTGGTCCATATCGACCTTTCTTTAATTGGAGGGGATGGTGGAGTCCCACATTGAGGCTTTTGTGCTATCATATGGCTTTCTTGGGGCCGGGTGCACATGTTTCAAGTGGATTGTCATGGGCACCACCAATTAGGTAAGTATGCCACTATGACGATCACTTTTCGGGTTTTTTTTTGGCGTGACGGTTTTACCTCTGAAAATATGTTATTTTTCATACCGGTTGCTATTGTTAACCTTTTGTAGTTAGATCTGTTTTAGTTCGGTTTGTTTGTTTGTAAGCACGTACGTGCGTTTCGAGTATGTATACATGCACGAGCTAATTTTTATTATTAATATTCTGCTTATTAAAGATTTAATATTAAACACCAGTTCTTAAAACTACTGGTTCTTGGGTTTAATCGAAAAGCATGAGTACAAGAAAAAATCAATATCAGTATACAAGCTTGTAAAATCCTTTGTTAAACTATATTATTCTATGTTTATATTATTTATTTTGAAACGAACAATGCTGATTGGTACTATAAGATCATGCCAGATAAATTTGTCATGATCGAGTTAGAGATCCTAATAAGATTAGCTCATAATTAGAAAATATTTAACCCAAAATTGGAATATACTAGTTTAAACAGGTCTTTTTTGTGACAAAAAAATTTAAAGCGAAGGTTGTTGTTTGCAAAAAAAAAAACAATAATAATAAAATAAACCCAGTATTACACTTATCAAACTACAAAATATACTTGAAAATATATGGGAAGAGTCAATAGAAATCAAGCAAATTGTTTTTATTGAAATATTTTTGAACTTTAAACAATAATAATTCAATAAAAACTTAATCAAATTTAATAAAAAATCTTTTAAATGAATTCTACAAATTTGTAACATTTATTTTAAAAAAGTTTTATAAAATTTGATAAAGTTTTAGTTAAGTTATTATTGTTTAAAGTTTCAAAAAAATTTAATTAGAAAAAATTTGCTTGATATCTATTGACTTAACTCCATATAACTATTACAGTACAGTCAACCCTCCATAAATGCACCCTCTATAAATGCACACACTATGTATGCCCTCTCTAAATGCACACTAATCTTCAGTCCCAAGCATATAGAGCACTTAATAAAATGCCCTCCATAAATGCACGCCCTCTCTAAATGCACATGTTTAAAAATTTTGCTTATAGTCCCAAGGGGGTGCATTTACGGAGGGTTGACTGTATTTTGAATAAATATACAGAAAATATTCTGATCATACTTTTATTCATTTCTTTTTTTATATATATGATAATTGGTGTAAAGTTGTGATTGATTAATAATTAATTTTATTTGTTATAGAATAAAATAAAACTTGCTATCAAATCACTAATAAGAAATTTGTGGTTTTTTATAGATCTGTATATCAAATGTTTGTATGTATATTTGGTAAAATATTAATTTATTTGCATTCTAGAAAATAATTATTTATAGTTATTAAGTAAACTAGATTTATAATAGAATATGCATAAAAATCATAAATAAACAATTAATTTCTATACCTATTATTAGATTAATTAAATACAATCTTTATATATAAATAAATAATGTTTTTCTACAATAAAAATAATGCCTACTTTAATAAATAATAATAATTTTTAATATAAAATCCTTAGTTTGGACTGCTATAATAAGGTTAATAATTTATAAATTATGTGATCTTCTTATCAAATATCATGAATAATAAGATATTGTGTATACAAAAATACTGTTTCTGATAGAGTAAGAACCAAATATTAATTTACATATCATTCCTGATAAGGTTTTATAAAAAAACTACTAAAATACTATACTACTATTATAAAATATATAAAAAAATTTAATAATACAAATCAAAATCAAAATTAATTAATTAGTTGGTTATTTGACAACTAATTAACTGAATCTTTTAGACACTAACTATACTTGTTATCTGAAATAAAAACTAGTTTTGAAAAGTATTAATCTAAAACTAAGTTAAGATTTTTAAAAAAATTTATACAACTATGAAAACTAAAACCCCAAAATATATAATCTGAAACTTGTACTAGTTATCTGACTATGATTGTATATAATGCATTATATAACTATATAAATTTTTTGATAATATAATGATAAACAAAAATTGATCAATAACTAATTATAATTTAATATAACATTATATGATCAAAAAAATTTAAAAAAAAATAGATAGACGCAAATCATTAACTCTTTCCGACGATCACTTGTACCAAACTCTGCTGCAAACATTTGATTATTATTCAATA